GAGACCAGAGGGGGCAAGGGAAGTTCTTCCCTTATCACCACTCCCAAGGAAGCTGTGCTTCTGGACTCTGGGCCAGGCCTTCAGGAGAGCAGGGACGGGACCACAGGCTGGGGCCACCGACACCATGAGGGAGGTGACCACATCCGCCAGCCAGGTGGCAGAAGAGACACTGGGAGGTGACAGTGAGGACTCCTGGGTTTCCCTCCTAGCACTGCTGCTCACCAGTTCTCAGCTCACCTAAGTCTGTGACTCTCTCTTCTCTTTCTATGGAATAAGAATGAAAATACAGGAGAACTGTCAGGATCTAATGAGAGAATGAAAGGGACAGAGTGCTGTCCTTTGGTTCTGGAATATTGTTCTTTTTAGTCTCATTCTTCTTGCCTGAAGCTCAGAGGAGAAAGAGGGAGAGAGGAGAAAACCTTGAGAAGAACTAGGTCATCTTCCTCAGCAAGTGGTTTGCGACCTGAATACATAGTAGAAATGCTGAACACCAGGCCAATCTAAGGACCAAATCTAACAGCATCAGCAGTTTCTAGGACTGAAGCTGAGTGACAGTGATCTTTACTACTGCAACTCCAGTTTTCTCAGCAAATACTTAGCTGGGTCAAATCAGGTACTTTCATCCAAAAATCCCCTTTGGGTCCTCTGGGGATCCCCCGCCCTTGATCTCCCCAATCCCTCACCACCCCACTCTTACATAATGCCCATCTCCCCATTTTCCCTTCAGTCTAGGTTCATAGCCTTGACCAGAATGAAACTCTTCTGTGATTCTAAGGCCAGCTTAGAAGAAAGTCACTGGGATCCCTGCCCAAAGTGCTTCTCTCTCAAGTCACTAAAGCTATCTGTAGGCTTCAGAATAAACTGCAGAGGAGAAAATAATCCCTCTTGTTAAGAATAAGCAGGATCAGAAATTTGTTTACGGGATCAAACCTTCTCGCTTGCATGAATGTTTTCCCTTTCTGGAAAACCCAGGACGGGAATTGAGAAATTACATGTTGTACAACAAATTATATGTTGTACTCCAGTAAACCACAATCTGGGATGTTGGTTTCACCATCTATAGATGACTGGGACACTGATCCCCCTTGGAACTCAGCCTTTGGATTGGGAATGACTGGAGTAGTTCTTTCTCTGGCCTCTACCCAACCAGCTTCTCTGGGTAAAGAAGGGAATCAAATTCCTTGGTGTTGAACAAACACGGGGTCCAGTTTATTCATTCTTATCTAGTGCCCATAGGTTGGCTTCATCTACAAAAGCAAACTTTGATCAGGGAAGGATGTGCCTTTTGTGATATGAGAACTAGTCAATGGTAAATTCTGTTTTGTTTTTTTTTCTTAAAGGAAGTCTCAAATGATTCACAGGGTTTTCTTCTCATTATAACCATAGATAGGAGATTTTAAGAACGTATGAATGGCAGCTACCTTCAGATTTCTTACACTGCTGTGAGGATCTAATGAAATCTGGATATTGGCTGCTGTGAAGACAGTCTGGGAAATGCTAAAAGCAACTTGTTTATACAGCGTTGACATTTAAAGGATACCGTTTTTAATTTTCATAATTGAAAGTCAAAGTCTGCAGTATCTATTAAATTGAATAAGTTATTCTCAGAGCTATTTTTGACCAATTTAGAAAAATTTTAAAGGCCTAACTGAATCACTGATTTTCAAATAATCTAGCTTGTGTGTTATGGGCAGTATATGGCAATTTTCTAGATGAAATCATACTGTTGTCTTATGTGCCCATAAAACAACATTGCTCAGGTTCAAAAAGCCCTGATTTATCATGATTATTTCTTGTCTAGAACTTTCCTAGATAGAAACTAAGTATCTTTGAATGGCTTATTTCAAATGCCTCCCTTATTATCTGTGGTAGGAATATAAACTGGTACAAACTATATGGAAAAACCACCTGGCAATAATGAAACAAAAGACTTAAAAATGTTCATAGCCATCTACCCAGCAATTCTACTTCTGGTAATTTAGAATAAGAAAATAATCTGAAATGTTAACAGAAATTTACACATAAGAAGAATTACTCCAGTGGAATTTAGAACACATTTTCCATACTTTTTTATATTCTTCTCTATAGGTTCTTATAACAAATTATAAGCAACCCAAACATAAACAGGAAGATAATTTAGTACGTAATGGTCTTTTACAAAATGAAATACGTTATAGTCATTAAAAATGGAAGCATATATAAGAGAAATGCAAATCAAAACTACAATGAGGTATCACCTCACACCAGTCAGAATGGCCATCATTAAAAAGTCCACAAGTAACAAATGCTGGAGGGGGCGTGGAGAAAAGGGATCCCTCCTACACTGTTGGCGGGAATGTAAATTGGTGCAGCAACTATGGAGAACAGTATGGAGGTTCCTCAAAAAATTAAAAATAGAGTTGCCATATGATCCAGCAATCCCACTACTGGGCGTATATCCGGACAAAACTATAATTCAAAAAGACACATGTACCCTTATGTTCATAACAGCACTATTCACAATAGCCAAGACATGGGAACAATCTAAGTGTCCATCAACAGATGAATGGATAAAGAAGGTGAGGTGTGTGTGTGTGTGCATGTGTGTATACACACACGCACACACACACACATACACACACAACAGAATACTACTCAGCCATAAAAAAGAATGAAATAATGCCATTTGCAGCAACACGGATCCAACTAGAGATTACCATGCTAAGTGAGCTAAGTCAAAAAGAGAAAGACAAATACCATATAATATCACTTATATGTGGAATCTAAAATATGACACAAATGAACCTATCTGTGAAATAGAAACAGACTCACGGACATAGAGAACACACTTGTGGTTGCCAAGAGGGAGCAGAGGTGGGGGAGGGGTGGAGTGGGAGGTTGGGATTAGCAGATGTAAGCGATTATATATAGAATGGATAAACAATAAGTTCCTACTGTACAGCACAGGGAATCATGTTCAATATCCTGTGATAAACCATGATGGAAAAGAATACACAGAAGGAATGTATATCTGTATAACTGGATCACTTTGACAGCAGACATTAACACAACACTGTAAATCAACTATGCTTCAATTTAAAAAATTTTTTTAAATGGTAGCATATATATATATATAGTATATATGCTAGCACGTACATAGAAACTTTTTGGTAAGGGGAAATAGGACTCTGTTAATCCTATTTTATTCTGAGGATAGAGAGCTTTACTTTTCACTTACACCTTTCTGTACTCTTTGAATTATAAAATGACCATATATTACTTTTATTTTTAAAATTAATAAAAATATTAATAAAGAGTAATAGTGGCATGAGAAAATGGTTAAGTGAAAAAAGGAATATAAATATGGTATGTATAGTATGATTAGGAAAAATCTTAGAAATATATCACGTTAATAATTATATTTCCAACTTTCAATAAAAATAAAGTGTGCCTTAAAATATTAGCTAGTTAAACAATACCAACTTGTTTTCTAATCTGGTTTTTTCCAAAATTGAATCTTTTTCTCCCAGTGGACCTCAGATAAACTGGAATCTCATTCTTCTTTGCTGAATTAATCACAGATGCCAGATGATCAAGGGTCAATTTGTTTAAGAAGTAGATTCCGTCAAGATATCAAAACATGTTGGATAGTGTATTTTTGTTACATTGAACATAACACAAAAAAGGGGTGCTGCTTCAGAGTTAACTTGCGCTGTGTTGTTATCTATATGCACCCTAGTCATGTAAAGGGCAGTATCAGTGTAGACTCTGGAGCCAGACTGCCTCGGTTCATCATCCTGGCTCCATCTTTGCCGCCTGGGTAATCCTGGGCAAGTGACTGAACCTTTCAGTGCTTTAGTTTCCTTGTTTGCAAAACGCTACTTACCTTACTGGGGTCGTGAGAATTAAATGAATGTCTGTGAGGTGGCTAGAACACTTCCTGCACACAGTAAGTACTTAATAAGTGTTTGCTACTATTATCATTACTAATACACCATGCACCTGATTTCAGAAGCACTCTGCGCTGGAGTAATTGGACAACAAAGGACTGCTCTTTGTAACATGCTGTCTAGTTACACACAGCTTACATCTATAGGACCACTGTCCCCTACACATCAGTTTTCACAGAGGATATTCTGTAGGGTACACACAAGAAGCTCGCCTGAAGTCCATTTCAGTAATGAAAACCGGTCACTTGAAAACAATCTTTATATTAAAGAGATGACACTAAAACTTTCTTCTACTCAAGTTGGAAACGTGGAAGGCCAATGAAAGTAGGATTTAGTATAAAACCTGGCTGTCGGAGTTGGTTAGTTAGATCATGTCCTAGCAAGGCCAAAAGTACAATGACTGGCTAAACAACTCAGTTTATTTCTCCGCTGGGTGTTCTTTGGTTCAGACTGCATTCTTAATCACAGCCAACCACCTCACAAAGGTACTTCAAGGGGAGCCAGCAGAGGACTCTACACGGGAGAGGAGACAGGGCTCAGTAAATGTGTGTTCCTTGATCCCTGAACCTGGGAAAGCAATTCAAAGTAACACCTCACTGATGCTGGGGCCAGACCATAATTTGATCACAAACACAGTGGTGCTTTCTCTATGTCAAGTGAGCATTGTCTTACAAAGTTATATATGTCATTACTTAAATGAAGAAGAGATTGGCCTTCTGGAAAGGAAAGGAAAAAGACAAGGAAAAAGAAAATAAAGAGAAAAAAAAAAGCAGACAAGGGCATTTGTCTTCCATGTTTGGATTTGACTAGAAAAAATATTTTGAAGAATAAAAGAAAAGTACCTGACTTAACCACAGCCTTCAAACAGGAAGTCAACAATATTCTTTCTCGGTACGTCACATAGGTAGTTACACTCCCGTGGCATTATACCACTGGCATTTTCCATATGAAAAGTGTGGTAAGTGCAGAGAGAAAAGGCACATAGCCTAACACTAAGCAAAGTCCAAATTCTTTCAGCCATCCCACCACCACACCACCCTCTTTCACGGAAGATCCAAAGAAGCAGCTTACCTCCACTGAGAATAATGACAGCTATAAATATTGCCAAGTCGCTGTCATCTAATTCCAGTGCATTGAACTTCACAGCAAACTCGAACTTGGGCTCCATAAAGTCACCAAAGGGCTTTCGCAGGCTCTTTAAAAACTCCCTCGTCATGAATCCTTGGCCCTCGGATATGAGAACCCCATCTTTATTCATCAAGGAGGCCAGCATCGTGTAAATGATCTCATGGACGCCGTATTTTAGGAGAGTTACTTGGTCATTCAAGTCAAGATTTACAAACCCAGGAATACTCTTGGCATACTCTGTGATCTCCTGCACAGCTTCCACGGAACGGAACTGACACCCCTGAAAGATGCGGATGGCCACTTCTTTGCTTGGCTCCTGCAAGGGGGTGATGTGCTTGAACTTGATTTTATCTTCTCCCATCATTAAGGAGTTCATGTCATAGATAACAAATGGCTGCAAAGAAAAAAGGGAGAAAATGGCTGAGTTGGAGATTTCTAATTCAGTCAACACCACCCCAGGTTCTCTATGTACACTTGCTTTGCTAACTAAAATCTTTAAAGTCTAAAACACTTAATTAATAATGAGAAAATACTCGTGTCTTGATTAATCCTCCCAATTGTCTTCTGGGACCAAACATATTTCACTAATATTGGCCTCCCTTTCCTTCCACTTATACTGCAACACCTTACCTGGGGCTGGCTAATAGCTCCAATTTCTGTTGTTTGGAGGGTCTTTGTTGTTGATTTTTCAAATGATACGAAATCTACTGTTTATTTTGGCTTTCAATGGTGTATGTTTTTAAACTTCTTTCAATAAAAAAATTATTTCAGCAACTCAGGGTTGAACAGACCCACCTGGACATAAAGTAATCTTGCAATTATACATTAAATCGACTCAGATCTTGAAAGAAACACAGTGTGCATGTAAACTACACTTAACTATAAAAAAAAATCAGTCTGAAAGCAGATTAAAAATACTGAGCCAAGAAAATGTCTGTTTCATTTTTTTTAATGCTCTGGAAGCAATCTGCTTCAGAAAGAGCAGCTGTGTAAGGCCTGTGGGTAAAAGCTGCAAAAGTGTCAAATTAAAAAACTTATTTTTCAAAGTATGTGTCCTTAAGGGTCAAGAATCAATAAAACACGTTTATCAGTTACTCAGGTTTGCAGTAGGCTGCTCTCAAAAGCACGTTGTGTTAGTCATAGATGATCTTTCTCTTTCATTTCCTCCTAGAGAATTAACCAAAGGTTTGTGGTCTGTGTGAAATTCTCAAGGCTACTCTGATGGAGAAGCGGCTACACTTTATATATACAGTGGATCTACTGAGCTCCATAAGGAGTTACCCCTAATAAGAGTTGAGGGGATCTGGGTTCCAGCTTTGGTTCTGCGGTTAACTACGTGACTTTAGAAAAGTCATTTATCTTTCCAAGGCCTCAAATTTCTCAACTGAGGGGAGTGGATTGCATTGCAAGTTTCCAACTCTTCTCTTGAGGATATGCTAGTTGCATTTCTCAGATGTAGTGTCTGTGATGTATGCGTGTGTGTGTGTGTATCTGTGTGAGTGTGCATGCATACTACGTGTCCACTGAACATGAAGTCTTTGATGTACTAAAAATAAAATTTCTTTTGAGCAGAGACGCTGAGAATTCTCTCCTCATTGGCAAGAGGAAGCAGATGCAGTGGGTGCCAGCAGTAGCCAGCTTCAAGACCCACTGGTTCAGAGAATCTGACTATTAATCTCTATAGGAGTCTATGATCGTCACCAAACTTTTATTTTGGCTGCACCACATGGCTTGCGGGATCTCAGTTCCCTGACCAGGGATTGAACCCGGGCCCTGGCAGTGAAAGCGCAGAGTCCTGACCACTGGACCGCCAGGGAATTCCCTTCACCGAACTAATAAGTCTATTCTACACTGAAGGAAATAACAGTAATACTAAGGGGTTTTCGATGTTGAGTAGATTTCCAAACTTGCCTATTATTTCCACACCATTCACTGGAGTTATTCCAGAAATTGTTACTTTTTTAAACCCCCAAATTCACTTCAATTGTATTGTTTAGCAAATACAAAACCACAAAGTAGGACAGATGTGAGTAACCCAAGAGTAACCTCGCCTGGTGGCTCTAAGTCTTCAAGGAAACCAGGAGTGAAGAGTGCTTACTATGTTTTGGGGAATTTCGCTCCCCCCGCTCCCACTTCAGATTGACATTATTACCGGGAGAGGAAAAAAAGGACGGAGTGGATAAACAGTCACATCAGTTAACACGTGCTACGTTTCTCCAGAATGCCACATTCTAATCATGAGAAAAATGTTCACAGAACCTAGGGAGAGGTCGTTTCTGTCCTCCAGGAGTTTTGTCGCGTATTATAATTTACGTTAACAAGAGCCTGGCTTTCTTTACTGCCATGAGAATCTGACGGTGCCTGAAGAGTCCCCCTGCACCTGTACGAGTACCAAAAACAACGGATATAACATCATCCCCTCTTCACATATGAAAAGACGGTACCTCGATCTGCCCACTTCAACTTTTGGATGAGCTCAACCACTCAGCTTCTTGGCACAGAATGGATGTATCAAATCCTTCCACCTCCATGTAAGCAATTTATCTGGAACTATGCCCTGATAAATCATCCTGTGACTCTTCCCCCTGACTTCCCCTGTCCCCTCATATAAAGCCCCAGGTTCCTGTTTTCGAAATTCTGTGCGAGTTGCACATAGGGCACGATCCTGCTAATTTTCTCTCTCAATTTAACAACAATGTGACTTGGTAACCCCTTGGCAATCGGCATTGGTCAGGATTTCCTGGCAGTAAACACTCAAGGACACAGAAAGGAATCAGCAGCCCCCACCATCATGCCAAACCATTCCGGTCTTTTCTTTTTTTAAAAAAAAGATCCCTTCAGCGTTTTCAAAACGTGAACTGGCAGAGAATTATGGGTATTGACATGCAAATGAATCCCAGGTGGATTTCTTTGTTTTTCCTCGTCATAGCTGATTGTGCTGTTTTCCTTGCATTTCTGAAGTCTGCATAGATTCTTTCAACCCCCATGCGGATCTGTCAAACTGCAAGAGTGATTGGACACGATCTGCCCAGAGATCTGCCTTTCTTCGCCACCAATTCACCAATTCTTAGACTGCAAACATTTCACCTGCACATTTCACACTGGGACCTCCTTATCCTGAAACAGCGAACAGAGAGTGGCCCACCTGGTTTGCAGAGGGCTGACCTCTTAAAACCACGGGTGGAATTCAGCCAGGGGAGTTTATCTTGGATCATGAATTTAACATTACACTTCTGGTAAAATATTCCCCATAAAATGCACTTCACTTCCATGTTTCCGTATTTTCTACAAAGCAAAGGGAAGTCTTACATTCTCTATTAGCTTGCACCGTATCACTGGATGATCTGCCATTTTAAGAGGAACCATATCCTCTTCAAATGTGGTCTTAATGATTTTACACTTTTAGTTGGGGGCTAACAATGTATTTATCTTCAGACGCTATATCAAATGGCTAGATAAGCATCTCTCCTTAACAGGAAAGAATGCTTAATTATGTCTAGGATGTTATCAGAGATAGATCCAGGCTTTGTGGGGCCTGAAATGTACACGATTGTTGAAGACATTTACAACAACTGTTGGGTTCAGTAATACAAATTATAAGAATAAATAGCTCAGGCCCTTTCTTGAGCCTTGGAAGGGGCTCAGCACAAGGGAGAGGCGCTGAAGCTTCATTTGCTTCATGGTGAGTCGGCCTTTGGCTGTTATAAGTGCTTGTACTTCTCCTATTTTGGACACACCAGAACAAGGTCAGAATGGAATGAAGAAAATTGCACTTGAACACAATGTTTCTCCAGGGAAACAAAACGGTTTCTGTAAGAGGAAGTTAGTTTTCTTTGGAGAGATACATCAAGTGTAATTTATTTTGATATGTTTTGATTTTCAAAAATGGCTCCACGTATCAAAACCGGGATGGGATTAAGGGTACTGTTTTTATAGATAACTAAAATTAGTTCTAGATCTATAGCACACCTGTTATGCATAACACAAAGATCATGGGGGAAGCTGGCTTACTAATGAAAACAAAGTAGAGCAATAAAACTTTACTGTTTTGAATGGACAGATAGAACAATATTGTTTCCTAGTAGTCCAACAACAGCAGCATTTTAATATACAAGTTGTTTTAGTGATTACACATGAATGCTCTAAGTTTACAGCTCCTTTTGAATAATAAAATGGCAAGCTAGAGGAGATAAATGAGAAAATCAACTAAGAAAGCACAGATTAGTCTGGTGATTTCTCCAATTTGGGAGATTGAAATTCGGGGCTCTCCTGGTAGTCTTAGTTTTCCTGACAGATTAGAGCAAAGGCTCAAGGAAGAAAATTGAATTCTTAGGGCCTATCTTCTTCATCTTCTTTTCTTCTTTCTTTTTATACTTCGGACTGACTTTTCATCTTCTGAGACACACATGGTTCTCCTTGATTAGCTCCACTGGGTGAATGTTAATCCAAAATGCATTGGTTGGGTTTCCTCAACTTCTTTCTGGTTTCTCCCCTGTCATTCCTATTTCCCTCTTGTTGAGAACCATGGGGTTTAGAGAACTAAAGGGTCTTCAGAAATAACCTACATCATCATTCTCTGACTATGTATGAATAAACTGAACTCGAGACTTTCCAAAGTCAAACAGCTATTTATAGCAAACACTAAACCAGATCTCCTCACTCATGACTAATTCTTTTCTCTTTCTGTTGCTTTCTACATGACTTCCCCACTTTTGCTTTTTTAAATACAATGACTATTCTGGGAGGAAGTGGAGCTTTTAAACTCTTATATGCCGGGATCTTGGAGGCAGTGTCCTTTGGACTATTATTTCCTAGAGATGCCAATTAAGTGCTGTATGTGATCAAAGTTAAGTTTGAAAGTCTCTCAAACGTAATCTTGTTTTCCTACATGGTTTAGAAATTTAAGACAAATAAAAACTTAATACGAAGAATCATTCACACTCTAATGAACCAGCACATAGCCACAGCTCTTAAAGAAAAGTCTATTGCTGGCCAAAATGTTACTCAGCTGGCAAACAAGGGTAGTGGCCAACTGAGTCTAATCATTAAAAAATGAAAAAAAAATTAAAATGCTTTTCTTCTTAACTATATAGAATATTATCTTTTCAATTTATTGTCTGAAAGAACACCATTGGTTCAGATCTCATATCTTTAGCTATATTCCCGACAGTACTGGAAATAAAGAAATTTATTTTTTTAATATGAACATATGGATTAATGATTCCAGGAGCCCAACTGCTTTAGTCACCATCGAAACAAATCAGCACTACCATCCTGCTCTTTGTACTGTGGTTCCTAAGGCTCTTTTCTCTGAGGGTCTGTTTGGTATCTTTCTTCCCAGGGGAGCAAATTCCAGCTCACTCAGGCTTTTCCACAGTGAAAGGGGGAAAGAGACCACACTTTGTTTAGTTGTTAAGTGTAGGATTTAAAAGGACAGATATCTTTCCAACAGTTTGAGTTACTAGATTCGAGGGCCCTTGTAAATTTTAGGATGCGAAAATTTAAATGGGTACAGAACCGTTTTCACAAAAGTTTACATTTCAATACTGGTTTTACTATTTGCAAGGTTCATATTGCACACACTATTTAGAAGAACTGTTTTTATGATGGTACCAGTTTGCTCCTGTAATTATAAAAACAGTGACTCTACATAGATCCATCATAAGCAGTGGGATGCTTTGGGACCCAAAGTCCAATATAGTACAAATAACAAGCTTTATTCCTTATTTGCAGACAGAGTGCAGCCAGGAGGGCCTCACCATGTCTCAGATATGGAGTGAAAAGTTGGCAGACACACCAAGGGTTTTTCTATTTATTGTTTTATGACAAACCATGGCACTGAAGATGGTTTTTGAAAACCACTCTCTGTTTATTTTCATCAACAAACATGGGATCACGTGACACTGACACACCCAGTGTGATCATCGCATCAGGGGAGTAGTCAAACACTGGGAACTTCCAAAGTCCATTCAGTTCTCAGGTTGCCTTCAGGTGATAAGCACCCTCGCTCTAGCATATCTGTGGTTTTTAGAGTTCAGTAGGTTCTCTCAAAGAAGGGGCTGGGCTGGAACAAGCCATTGAAAGGGAAGTAGACTGTGAGGACAGTCAGTGCTACTCCTATCTGAGGGTGGCTAAAAGGCCGAGTGCTCCTAAAATTTCTTCTCCGGTGTTCCACATCCAGTGAGTCCATTTCCCATCTTTCCCTAAGCCTAAAGTTCCCAAGCATTATTCTTTGCGGCAAGACAATGAAAGTAGGGCCAATCATATCCCAAAGATACGATATCTAAGTTAAAAAGATAGGAGGGGACAAGGGGCATTTAATTTACCTGTTCATTTATCTGTTCTGTTCTGCAAGGTGGCACCAGCGAATAAGAGATAGAAGAGAGTTTAGTGGGAAAGGGAGAAGCCCTGGTTGGCCTGGAGGCAAATGCTGGAGCTGGGCCTAAGCAATGGTTAAAATGAGCAGGAAGATAAATTTAAAGAATGGCCTCTTCAGTAAAGTCATTTCCTTTTCCAAAGGTTCTGGGTAACTGGTCATCCATCCACTATGCTGAGTAGCCTCCCCCAGGCTTGACTGAACCAACCCTAACGACATCGGTTCAAGCAGGGTGTATAGTGAGACGCAAACGGCTCTATCGCACCAGCCACAGCCCCTCTTCCACATGCCCCACCTTCTCCAGGGTCCACACTTCTGCAAAAGTTCTCCTGTCAGTGCAAATCTTATCTTTCAAAAGTCCTGGGCAAGTGATAACATAACAGCCCTGTCAAGTAAGCCCTGTCTTACTTGACAACATCAAATGAATAACATGACCACTAAGATAAAGAACAAATCTCTGATCTCACTGGAAGTCACATTTTGATTGTTTTTCCCTTTCGCATATTCCTCTCTGAACTATTTCTTTCCACTAGTGCTTAATTTGATTTTGCAAGATAAGGAGAAAAGAGAGCGCCAAACAATTCTATTGCAGTTTTGTGTAATCAGGGAATGGACTATTCTAATTTGGCCCAGTCTCCTTTTCCTTCCCAGACCCTAACAAGAGGCAATTTTGCCTCTATCCCGATCTTTAATGGTGCCCGGGTTGGTGGGAAAATCTTGGGTTAGAGACCCTCTGATGAAAGTCCAGAATTTCCAAGGGCATAGGCATCAGCTTTTTTTTTTTTTTGCGGTACGCGGGCCTCTCACTGCTGTGGCCTCTCCCGTTACGGAGCACTGGCTCCGGACGCGCAGGCTCAGCGGCCATGGCTCACGGGCCCAGCCGCTCCGCAGCACGTGGGATCCTCCCGGACCGGGGCACGAACCCGTGTCCCCTGCATCGGCAGGCGGACTCCCAACCACTGTGCCACCAGGGAAGCCCTAGGCAGCAGCTTTTAATTCAATTAAGCAGATACGTTCTGAGTAACACAAAGCACAGTCCTAGTTACTACAGAGGGAAAAAGGACAAACTTGAGAAGCCTATAATCAAGCATTTTGCAGCCCTTTCCCTTAAAAAAGCTTAATACCTATTTACCCCATAAAAAGCCTACAATTACCTTAGTTTCAACTCAAAGATTTAGAGCCAAGGAGTCAACTGGAGTGAGCTTTTAAAGTGATTTACAGTGGATCGGGCTGTGGCCCCTGGGTCACACGCTGAACAGTATGCTGGCCACTGGGAGTGTAAATTTAAAATCTTGACTGCTGAGGAAATTTGCTTTTTAAACGCTTTCCTCTTATCTTTCAGGTACTATTAAATTAATAGGATTTCCAGTGTGGACTGCAGGTCTGGATTGGGAGATTAAAAGAAGGTGAGAAAGCAGTTCCTGGAAACTAAATGGCCCGAGGCAAACTGTGGAGTAAACACTGTGCTCTGGGCTGTCCCCCTGTCATCAAGCCTCTCCCAGCTCAGGGTCTCCGGTTAGGTTCCCTGTCCCACATGGGCTCTCAGCGAGCTGGCGCAAGCTGCCTTCAATTGTTAACCCTATTTGGCTGTGTCGCCCTGATCTTCCGTTTGTTTCTCTACCTTTAAATGAACACGGTTTACTTTGTTTGAGGTCATTTGCTTTTGTTTTGCTGTGCCCTGATCTTTTCATTTAAAAAACACGTAGACTCAGCTTTACTATGACCTATACTCCATTGCCCTGCCCTACGGAAGACAGCGGCCCTCCTCACTAGAATTCAAGAACAAAACAGCAAAAGGAAAATTCCCTGACTGTGAATGTACTGGGACAGCAGAACAAGGTGGACAATTCCTGTCATTCTAAATATTCATAAAAATAAACCATAACTCAGAATGCCTTCCCAAGGTGAAACTTCCAGCCTGGCCATGTCAGCCTGGCCACTGCTGGCCGATGGGCAGGACTGGCTTCAGGGAGGAGAACGCACCCGAGTGGGAGGCACAGGGCCTGCGTTCCGGTGTCACTTCTTCCACATGCTAACTCTGGGACCTCAGGGCAAAGTTTTCAACCTCTCTGGACTTCAGTTTCCTCATCTTTAAAAAGAGGATAATAATAGCAGCTGTAAGGTGGTCATGGGTCTTGAACATAATAAATACGCAAGAATTAAAAAAAATTATAAACAGCTGGATACAGGTATAATACTCTCAGAAAACCTACTGCCCTTCTTGATATTTGGCTTTTAACGTAGCAATATCCCACAGAAGTTTTCTTTTTCTATTAGCTGATTCTACTCTTACGGTTTAGCTAAAAGGGGGGGAAAAAACCCCATCTTGAGATAGTCATCAAAATACATTAACGGGTGATAAAACTTTTCCCAAAATATAACTGAGTGGGGAAAGAGTTACACATTTCTGTCCAGTAATCGCACACCTTTCCTGCGGGGCTTCATTTGAAAATAAACGACAGCATAAGAAGGCTTTCAGGGGCTGGGACAGTGTCTTCTGAATGTTTTGTGGCTCTTACTACCCTAGGAAGCTGCTGCAGATATACTCAGAGTCAGACCCTACCTGTGAAAACTGCGGTACAGAGATGTGACCCAGGTCACAGTGCAAGTTGATGGCAGAATTGGGACCAGAATTCAGGCACAGCTATATTTTGTTTTAATATAATTTCAAGTTGCTTTCTCAGTTTCCTATCAGGGAAGAATTTTGCTTCTTGGAAAACGTGACTCAATCACCATTATAACCCACTCTGGGTTTCCTAAACAGTGGTCATCAATGTGCCTGCAGATGTCTGAGAATGCACTGGGGTAGGCCTGGCTGCTCAGAGCCTCCAAGAAGATAAAATTCATACACACAATAAAAGGACAGAGCTTCCAGTTCCCAGGAATAATCAGGACAGTGCTGCAAGGAAAGAAAAGTGATGTAATATCTGAAATGTATTTTTATACCCCAGGGAGAACTTCTAAGAGGTAATTTGAGTAGTTCTGAATGATACAATAATGGGATTAACTACCTTTTCCAGACCTAGGTCAGGCCCTTCCCAGAGAAAAGCAGAGCTGTTTGAAGGCATATAGATGTGGCCAGTTATTTTGATGCCAAGAAAAGACATGGATCCTGAAAGAGCGTGGTGGGACGAGGGAGGTCAGAGTTCATTTGTTCAAGTTAAGATGACCTGTACCTTTTTACACTATTCTCAAAAATTTTATTAGGAGAACTTGAAGGAGTTTTTCCCTTTTCAAAATGTTTACTTACCCTATCTGAAAACACTTCCTTTCCTCTGTTTCAGACTCAGCCTGTGGTAGGTACCAGCCAACAGCTGAGTGGTACTCCGCATGTGTGTGTGTGTCTGTGTGTAACATGGTAAGTCATTTACTCAAAGGGAAAACAACAACAACAAACCCAGCCACCCCAAATGAAGACAGTAGAAGAGAACTAACTGATTTGTCTGTTGTCTTTCCTGTCAAGATCGCCCTCGCCTTTGCTTTCGTCAGCGGGAAGGACTTTATGTACGAGTCATACAAATGTTTTGCCAGGGCCCGGAGATCAGCAGACTCTGGGTTCAGCTGGTCGATATCACTGGAGATCTCCGCCAACAGCTTCTCCTTCTCGGCCTGTGGCATCCGCCCAAACCTGATGGCTACAGAGGAAGAGAAACGGCAGGATGAATGACTGCGTTATTGTATATATATATACATCACAACTTCTTTTATCCTTTCGTTCATCAATGGACACTTAGGTTGTTTCCATTTCTTGGCTATTGTAAATAATGCTGTAATGAACATGGGGGGGCGAATGAATTAAGTTGAGTCTTATTAAAAATGTTTTTGTCCTTTAACATCTAAGGGGTGAACTTGCAGTCATATCAGGCTTTTGACAATGAGTAAGGCTTCGTCTCATGGTCAGTTTTCCACTTTTAACATGTTGATTTTGTAACAGCTGCAGCCTGTAAACGAGACTTATACAACACTATTGCTTTTCATATGACTGTTGCCAATAACTTATGTTTTTCCACCTCTCTTTCTTGAGGAAAAAAAAAATGTACGCATTTAGAGGTTTTGCAGGATTTGGCAACCTAATAACTATCACTTTATTTTCCAGCTCCTTTAAAGTAAAACAAGGAGCAGCCTTATCACCATTATTAAGTAATTTTTAAGTTGGGGTAACATTTTTCAAACTATGTGTAAAGAATATTTAAACACTTGCCTAGGTTTCTTTCCAAGGTCGAGATGAGCAAGACACAACAGCCTCATCTCCTGACCCTGAAGTCTTACTTGACAACATTTAATTCATTCATTGAACACCTGTTTGATGGAAGACACTGGCTTGACAGACTGGACTGGGAGACACAAGGATGAAAGGGACGCGTCTAGGAGATCCCAGATATAAAGGAGCCTAAATATACACGGATTATTCTCTCTCTCATGTACCGCTCTTTACGAGCTCCTTCCTTTCCACCTAAGCCGAGTTTAAGCTTCTGACCCTGGCATGATCTCCCCCTCATGCTCTTTCCTCCACCACTGGACTTATTGAAAGAGTCGTCTTCCCCTTTCTGTCTTACTATTTACTTCCCAACCCACTGCAATCTAGTTTTCCTCATTTAAATTCACCAAAACTTCGCTCTTAAAAGGATCCAGGGGCTTCCCTGGTGGCGCAGTGGTTGGGAGTCCGCCTGCCGATGCAGGGGACACGGATTCGCGCCCTGGTCCGGGAAGATCCCACATGCCGTGGAGTGGCTGGGCCCGTGAGCCATGGCCGCTGAGCCTGCGTGTCCGGAGTCACAAAAAAAAAAAAAAAGGATCCAAAGCTTTCCTCACAGTCAGATCTAGGGGCCTCTTCTAAGAGCTCATTCTGCTTAAGCTTCCCAGCTTCCTCCCAGCCGTTAATACTGTTGACCTTCTCCACCCTCTTATTTCATATTTTTCTCACACAGGTTTGTGCTTTTCTGGCTCTCCTATCTTTCTGCCTGCTATATTCCAGACGTCTTTGACGGTGCCTCTTCCTTCACTTATATTCTGCTATTCCTAGTTTGATCTTCTCTGTAACTCAGAAAACGTGCTAATGACTCCTGCCCTCTCTTCCCTGAGATTTGGACCCTCATTATTCACTTCTTACTGTGTTCCTTTGCACATGGATGCTGGATATTCCACAAATACCTCAAATGCAACATAAAATCAAACTTTTCATTTTCCCCTCCAAACTGTCTCCTCTTACTGTGTTCCTTTCTTGATTAATTCACTCTATCACCCAAACTAGACACCTCAAATAATCTCTGACAACCCCTCTCTCCTCGGACACTTGTATTCATTGGTCACTGCTGAGAGATTTCTCTCAATGCCATTTCGTCTCACCGTTCCCAATGTTTTAGATCACAGTATTGCACTGGTCTCCTGATGGTTGTCCCCGATTTTTCCCTCTCTAACTTCTCCTTTTGAGCTGTCAGTAGTTTGGTTTTTGGTAATACAGGTCTGATCACTCCCTCGCTTTATAAGAATGTGATGCTACAGGAAAGGTAAGAAACACACAGAAGAGGAAGAATAGGGAATTAGAAGTCGGATGGAAAAGAAGGCTTTTGAACTGGGCCTTCAGCACCACATAGGGTTTTGACAGGGGACGGAAGGGCACAAGACGCAGAGCCCCAGAGGCATTCTACCACAGGGCACTTTGCAGGAACAGCAAAGTATGCAGTTTGTCTGAAATGTAAGTGGAAAGGGCAGCAGAGGGAAAAGGAGGTGAAGGCTAGATTATGGGCAGTAATGAATACCCTGCAGGTATAAGTACCACAGCTCCTTTAGGACTTTTTACTTTGTTATATTTTCTGAAAGGTAACATTTGGGTAACTTTTCCTCACACCACAAAGAAGATGAAAGGAACAAAAAGTAACATGTTGCAGTTTAAATTTATTTGCCATTCAGGCTTTTCTTTTTTTGCAACATACATAGTGCTTCTGTTTACAAGGAAGGAGAGGACTACCTTATAAATGCTAAATGCCACAAAAATCTGTGAAACCATTTTGCTAGCATTTTATGAAGCTGCTAAAAAATTATTTTGAAAGATGTCGCTTTTTTTTCAATAAAAGAAAAAAATCCATCATTTATATAATAGGATATCCAAATCAGTAAAGCTAAGGTTTCACTAACTTTTTATATTTATAAAAATTATTATTTTTGTCCAAACTGAATGGTATGAGGAAACCTAGCTGAATGACTCATAAGTAATATAAGTCAACTCTTCTTTGCTTCAGATTTTTAAAAAAATGCACAGCCTAAACTTATTATTTTATTATTTAGTTCATACGAAAAGCAGCTCTTGAATATTAAATATTCTCTAGTCAAAATTCTTAACGACTGGGCTTCTCTGGTGGTGCAGTGGTTGAGAGTCTGCCTGCCGATGCAGGGGACACGGGTTCATACCCTGGTCCGGGAAGATCCCACATGCCGCGTGGAGCGGCTGGGCCCGTGAGCCATGGCCGCTGAGCCTGCGCGTCTGGAGCCTGTGCTCCACAACGGGAGAGGCCACAACAGTGAGAGGCCCACATAACATAAAAAAAAAAAAAAAATTCTTAATGACTAAATTATCCTATTAAAAATAAAGAGGACACATTTAAAAAATATGATTAATGTCAGGGATCTTGACAGTAGGACTTCAAAACACAAATTGTACTTTGAAAAACTATAAAAATGTGTATGAGTATCCATTTGACTGAAGAAGCAACATTAATATACAAGAGTATTTTTATTAAGATTCTACAGGTACCAGCATCACTATTTCAAAGTGTAAAACAAGTAGTAGCTGATACAATGATCACTTAGGAATTTGGTTCTTTATTTCTGCTTTCCTTTGGCTTAGAGCTTTCCTCTATAGGTGGTGTCTAGACAGGGCATTGAGCTGATTGTGTTCGGGACAACGCAGGAAGACTTCGGAGCCGTCAGCAGGATTGAACCATGGTCTAGAAATGATGGATTGTTAAATACCAAAATAAGTGGAACTTCGTTTATCTTGATCATTATAGAAAAACAAAAACTTTCTTCCCAAAACGTATCAATCCAACACCTGGGTGCTTCTTCTACCTAATGCTGGATATTTGAGAAACAACTATGTATCCAAATGGAAGAATTCTGAAATCATGTCCTTCTACGATGTTTAGACTACATGTCACAGTCAAAATGAAAGTTCCATCTGAAGATGGAACCATATACCATGAACCATTAATCAAATATACCATTTATACTTTCCCTACCCCAGACTGCCCTGGATTTGTACTCTGGGGTTACATCGTTATGAGATCATCAAACATACTGACTTAAATTGCTGAGGAATTGATCAGAACATATGGGAGACCTGATTCAGGCATATGAAAAACATATAGGTGGAAACTTTTAAATTCAGGTAAATGACAGATATCTAGATATTTGGAAGACTGTGGCACTGTCTGTAAGACATGGACTAGCTGGCTGAAAAGTGAGGTAGGTTGTTTGATTTACATAGAATCACAGAATTTTCAAAGTTGAAAGGACTTAGCAATCACTGATTTTTAAAAAATTAATTTATTATTTTTTATTTTTGGTTGCACTGGGTCTTTGCTGCTGTGCCCGGGCTTTCTCTAGTTGTGGCGAGTGGGGGCTACTCTTCGTTGTGGTGCATAGGCTTCTCATTGCGGTGGCTTCTCTTGTTGTGGAGCAAGGGCTCTAGGTGTGTGGGCTTCAGTAGTTGTGGCACACAGGCTCAGTAGCTGTGGCTCATAGGCTCTAGAGCGCAGGCTCAGTAGTTGTGGTGCACGGGATTCGCTGCTCTGCGGCATATGGGATCTTCCTGGACCAGGGCTCGAACCTGTGTCACCTGCATCATTGGCAGGCAGGTTCTTAACCACTGTGCCACCAGTGAAGCCCGCAATCATTGATTTTAGTGATTTTCCAACAATAGTTCCCAGAGTCCCTAGGGATCCTTGAAGGTGACTTCAAAGTCTCCTTCAAAGGTGGGAGCAGATGGCTAACCGGGAAGCTAAATGCACTGAAGGGACTGAACAGAGAGACCAAAGAGGAGAAGGAAAAGTAACACAGAATGGAGAGAATTCACTTTGGGGGAATGTTTATTTCTTCTCGTGTGTACTGTGAATAGCAAGGAGCTGATCTTGGGGGCTTCCCTCGTGGCACACTGGTTAAGAACCCACCTGCCAATGCAGGGGACACAGGTTAGAGTCAAGGACTGGGAAGATCCCACATGCCGCGGGGCAGCTAAGCCCGTGCGCCACAACTACTGAAGCCCGCGCTCCTAGAGCCTGCGAGCCACAACTACTGAATGAAGACCGCGCGCCACAACTACTGAGCCTGCTCTCCTAGAGCCCGTGCTCTGCAACAAGAGAAGCCACCGCAATGAGAAGTCCGTGCACGGCAATGAAGAGTAGCCCCTGCTCGCTGCAACTAGAGAAAGCCCGCGCACAGCAATGGAACACCCAATACAGCCAAACATAAAATAAATATTTATATAAAATATTAATATAAAATAAAATAAAAATAAATTTAAAAAAAGAAAATACCAAAAAAAGTATTAAAAGAAAAAAAAAGGAGCTGATCTGGGTATAACCCTAGAAACCTCTTTTGATAAGTTGGTCAGTTATTACATTGAGGTCCATTCACACAAATCACTAAGAAAAAGACTTTCTATAAGAACGGAAACCTCATTACTGTTGGCCTCACAATGGCCAGAGCAAGGAATTTTAAGTAGTTACTACAATATCCTAGAAAACTTTGTATTTGGAAATGTTTCCTTCATCAGGATAATAGACAAACCTAATCAAAACCTACTTGTTGAGGTCCCCTTCATGTGTATAGATCAAATGGATGTTTTCTTTTCTGTGTAACCCGTTCCCATCAAAACCAATGAAAAGGGATTTTCTTAGTCATGTTTGCAATCCTGTAAATGCTGAACTGCATGTGTTTGATGCCATGACATTTAATTTCTTTCTTTCTTTCTTTTTCTCTCTCTCTCTCTCTCTCCCTCCCTCCCTCCCTCTCTCTCCCTCTCTCTCTCTCTCTCTCTCTCTCCCTGCCCCCAACCTTTCTTTCTTTCTTTTTGCCTGTGCATGAACTAACCAAACACTCTACCAAGACTGCTCCTCTCTCTGAATAGAGTAAGCTAATTGTCATAACAAGTCAAAAGATGACCTTATTATCAAGTTCATGATAGCTTTCTTTGACTTTTCTGGAAAGATAAAATTATACCATCAATACTATATAGGTTGGACTTTAAATATTATTTGCTTATAAATAATAAGAAATAGGAGATATATTTTATGTGAATGTGTGCAAGCACTAGGAAATATATTTTTCTTCAATATGAAAAGTGACAATTTTTAAAGGACAAAAAAATAAATAGCATTAAAAGCAAAACTGGTCTCCTTTCCTAGGCAGTCTTAGTAATAATGACCTTAAGGTCAAGGATTCCTTCATAAAGATAAAATAAGTTTATTGAGGGCTTCCCTGGGGGCACAGTGCTTAAGAATCTGCCTGCCAATGCAAGGGACACGGGTTTGAGCCTTGGTCCAGGAAGATCCCACATGCCGCGGAGCAACTAAGCCTGTGCGCCACAACTACTGAGCCTGTGCTCTAGAACCTGTGAGCCACAACTACTGAGCCCGCATGCCACAACTACTGAAACCACGTGCCTAGAGCCTGTGCTCTGCAACAGGAGAAGCCACCGCAATGAGAAGTCTGTGCACCACAACAAAGAGTAGCCCCCTGCTCGCCACGACTAGAGAAAGCCTGCGTGCATCAACGAAGACCCAACGCAGCCCAAAAAAAAAAAAAAAAGTTTATTGCAACTTGATTGCATCACCTAAAATATAACCCTTGAATTGAAAATTGGTAAAAACCCTTATGTTTTATGAAGTCTGAAATAAAAAGGAAACTGATGGAATTAAACCAGCAAATTATCTTGCAATTAATGACTGCAGTTGTATACACAGCAGATATAATCAACTGTTGAGGAAAGCTGGACCAAATTTCCATCCTGTCTAGTATAGCTGATGGATCTATTCAAAATACATTCTTGCCTTTAGAGGAAATGACCCCATATTATGATACAAATATAATTTTTAAAACTATTTTTAAAGGGTAGATCAGTTCAATTAGTGATTCCCAAATATCTTGATTTCTGCTATAAAAACCAAACATCTGCATGATGGAACGAGTCCTTATAGACGAAGACTGACTTCAAATATTATATCTTCTTACCAGGTTAGTTTTGAGAGAGGAAAAGGTAAAAGAAAAAAAAAAAACCAAAAAAAACAGGGTATATGATGACATGAGACTTTGGATTTAATGTGATTACTTTGGCATTTTATATCTCTTGAACCCATAATTATTTTGGAAAGAACTAATTCTTGACAAACATAATACTACCAAATTACATCAAAATTACTTTTTGTGAGCCAACCAACGAGAGCCAAATTAAGAACTATTTCTTCAAACAGCGCTGTCTTCCATGATGTTACTGAGTTAGTGCTACAGTTCGTGAAAACATGGGTCTTCTACAGTCCTTCCCTCAAGTCGACATCCCAAATCATAAGCCTGACTTTAGATACAGGTTTAAAAAGTAGAAAGTTTTACTCTCTTACGTTACTATGGATACCGAAGTTTTGTGAAACTTTAAAATATTTGCTTAATCCACAAATTGTATGCTGCATAAGGTCAAGAAGAGTGTTCTACTCGTTTCTGCATAGTAAAGAGAAAAAAGGACATATATCTAAATTCTGATATACCACTTAAGTTCCGTATCCAGAAATCAGAATTTTCTTACATTAAAAGTAGAAACTACTATATATAAAATAGATAACTAATAAGAACCTGCTGTAGAGCACAGGGAACTCTACTCAATACTCTGTAACGGCCTATATGGGAAAAGAATCTAAAAAAAAAAATAAAAAAAGAGTGGATATATGTACATGTATAACTGATTCACTTTGCTGTCTACCTGAAGCTAACACAAATTTGTAAATCAACTCTACCCCCCAAAATTGTAAAAAAATAAAGTAGAAACTACTGATATATATAAGTAAAGTATAATCTGTTTTTAATACTATTAAAGCAACACAAAAATTTAACCGCAACTATCATTACATTTGTTTCAGAATACTACAGTTATTTCCATTATCTCCCAGATTTCCCAGTCTTTTCTCCCATCATGGCAGATGCTCAACTATAAGAGAGAAGGATTCACATTTAAAGCTGAAAAATTCTGACCTAATTGAGAAACGTTTTATCAGCATGCAGTATTCTGAAATCTGGCAATCGGTGGAAAAACTGTACATGTTTTCAGCAACGGCCCTCACGTCTACTGATCTGGCAGCCATAATGAGAATAGTAAAGTATGTGGCACTAAGGGTTCACTTACCATTATGAGACATCCCCACAGCAAGGCACTTCTGAAAACGACAGTACTGACATTTATTTCTACTTTTTTTGTGGATCCGACAGTTAAGATCACACCTATCATAAATAAGCTTCAATCTGATTGTCCTCCGGAAGAAACCCTGCAGAGGGATATGGAAAAAAAGGAAGCAAATTTTGAGTGTTTGTGACAATGGCTAAAGGTACACTAGCCTGGGTATCAGAGGCTAAGGTAGGTTCTTGACACATTCTGTCACTGGTGACTTTAGATAAATCACTTAATCTCTCTTAGTTTTCTCTGCTATAATATAAAGAACCAGAGGATCTCCAGGATCCTTTTTTTAGCTCTTAGACAGTGACCACAACCCACTGATGTCATTGAATGCATCTTGGCTCTACATCTGGATTTCAGCAAGCTCTAAGAAGTGCTCTGGATTTAATGTAATGCAAATAAAACACCATGTAATCAGTTCAGTCTCTCTGTAAATCATTCCAACAGCATGCCCCAGCCTTATAATTGTGCTAAGCAGTTTGGCAAAGTTATAGTCATTTCATTCTAAAACATGAGCAGGGCCAATAAAAATCCACATGTGGATAATTTTTTGGAATTCTCTATGTTGCATAATTTCCTACAGAATTGGTTTCATTTATTTATGCATTTGAAAGAGTGCTCCATAATCATTGTAGCCTACAAACAAGAAGAGATAACAGAAAATAACATGAGAAGTAATACATAAATCCTCAGAAAATTGACAGCTATCTCAAAATAGCAAATATGTCCATTTGAGGCTAACTGAATTCTATTACATTTACATATTTTTGAAAGACCAGAAAAAAAACTCTAATGAGAAACATTTTCTTACTCCATTTTTTTTGTTATTGTTCAGAATATTCCTACTCATTTCTATTGTGCTCATCTTCATGAAACTCACTTCTTAATTCTTTCAAATTTATCTGGCCCTGTTTGACACAAAAAGCAATGAATTAGGACTGACTCTACCACTGACATGCATTTGGACTTTCTCCAGATTTCTACCTTGAACTCTAGACAAGTATGTTCAGCTGCTTACTTGACATCTTCACTTGGAAATCTAACACCATCTCTAACCCAGCAGGTCCAACTGTGAAGTCCTAATCATACCCTGCAAGCTTATTTCACTGCAGCTCTCTCTATCTCAGTTGATACAACTCCAACCTTGAAGTCACTCTCAACTTCTTTCTCTCATGAAGAAAAGCTCTTGCTCTAAATACACAATTGCCTGTTTCCCTCACTGCCTTCAAGTTGTGCTAACACCTCGACTTCTCAGCGAGGCTTATCTATCTTATTTCATACTGTGGCCTGTCCCTGTCCCCAACTCTCCTTGGCAGTTCTTGTTCTCCTTTACTCTGTTCTTTTTTCCCAATAGCCTTTATGACTTCCTAACATACCATATAATTTACTTATTATATTTATGTTTATTTTCTGCTCTTCCCCTACTGTCCAACTAAAATTGTGAGCTCCCTGGGAGAAGGGATGGTCTCTTATGCCCCTAGATGTAACCCAAACGCCAACAACAGTGCTACATTAAAATATGTTGAGTAAATATGTGTGTAATTTAACTTCCTTTCTAGGCCATCTCTGATATTTTGTGATTCTAAACTATGACTGAGATATTACAAGGCCACTGGCACACTCCTTTCCTTTCAGTTTTTGTTGCTATCTTATTAGAGGTAATAGTTACAAACATGTAGGAAATACATGTAACTATAAAACATAATAAGATAATTATCACACATGAGCCCATTGTTCAACCCAAGATTTAAAATCATAACCAGCCACTTGCATGCACTTATGAGTTCTTCCCTTATCTAACTCCTGCCTCTGTGGCCTCTTGACAATATAATCATTATCCCCAATTTTGAGTTTATCGTTTCCTTGACCTTTAAGAAAATATAGTTTTATCACACAATCTATAAAACTAAATAATACATTGCTTAGGTATGCTAGTTTGGGGGCTTTATTAAGTAGTATCATACTATATACAGGTATTGCAAATATATTCCCCTCTCTATGACTTACGATCCTTGAAGTTTACTATTTCAGTCTTTTTTTTTTTTTAACTTGTAAACCTTTTCATTTTGCTTTCATTCTTGAAAGATCACGGGGTACTCAGTTTTTCCTCTTAACACTCTGAATTCCATTGTCCCTGTGCTTTCATTGTTTCTGTTGAGATGTCTGTTGTCAATTGACTTTGGTTGCATTTATATATCCTCTTTGTTTTTCATATTCTGCAGTTTTACTGCAGTGCGTCTAGCCATGGATTTCTTTCATTTATCTTCTTGCACATGGTTTCTGCATCATGGTTCCACTTGTTCATCAGCTCTGGTACTCCAATTAGTTAAATGTTAGGATTTCTTTTCAATCCTTCAATATTTCCCAACTTCTCTTTTCTATTTTTCATCTTCTTACCATTAATTACTCATTAATGTTCATCACGAAGGTAAACATCAGAACAGCCAAATAAGATGACAAAAAATATATAATGACAATGGCCAAAGTAAGTAAAAGCAAACTTTTCTCACCGAAGTTCATCCGTAAGAAGAGTTCTGTACATTGCTATTCATCGCTAAAGAAGACGTATTTTTAATATTCAAAGATCCTATGCATACTTAAAGAACTAAAAGAGGCTTCAAATTCTAGCAGATTCTGGGTAGGACATATTCTTTAAGACATTGTTGGTCTCATTCTTAGTAATTTCTTTGCATATATCTTTCAGTTCACTAATCCTTTCTTCTCCTGTTTCTAGTGTGTTATTTAACCCTTGTATTGAATTTTTATTTCAATGATTGTATTTTTCACTTTTAGAAGTTTCACCTGTTTTCAGAGCTGTTGGTCAGACAGTCTATTACTGCTCATTCATCGCTAGGATTCTGCCCTCTATCTTTGAACAGTTCGTACACAGCTGTTGTACATTCTGTACCAGGCAATTCCAATATCTGCTTTCCTTGGTAGGGGCGGAGAGGCCTAAGTCTGCTTTTTTGTTTATTTGTTTACTTCTGGTGAATGTCATCAAGTTGATTGCATACTTAAGTGTTTGCTGACATTTTATTTTGAACTCATTTCTTGACCTTCAACTGTGAGAATCCTACAGGGTCTAAATTGGGAATTCTTTCCTCCAAAGAGAATTTAAAGATCCTTCTGTTGAAAGCCAGGAGTGACACTGGCTTATGACTATTTCAGACTCTCTTGAGAATTGTGGCTCAACTCAGAAGCCCCAGGCTCAGCTGCTCCTCACTGACAGCTCAGAATACTGACATAGGCATCTACCTGTAGGGCAGTGCTGCACCTCAGTACTCCTATGGGCATCTATCATGAGGAAACTCTGCCCTGCCCCTCCAAGTATGCCTGCAGCTACATCTCAAGACCTAGGATTTTTTTGTTTGTTTGTTTTGCTATTAATGTTTTGGAGAGTTTTCCCTACCTCTTGTGAGATCACTAATATCTCAGACAGTATGTCCTGTGTAGGGTATGCTGGAAAGTTAAGCCTCTTTAATTCTCAAAGGGTTATAAGAAGGTTCGAACATTTAAAAGCCATTTTCCCCCCAATGATTCACACAAGGCTTAAGTATAGAACTGTTGTCACTGATAAATACTGGTGAGAAATTTTTGTTTTGATTTTTGCCATTGTGACCATATATTTTTTATGATATCCTTGACTGCTTCTCTGATGTTCACTGTTAAAACCTAATATTAGTGGTTGAAAATGCTGCTTGGCTAGCTGACAGGTCCCAGAGTACTCACCTATTTGGCATGGTTGGAGAGGAAGGCTTTTTAATAAGAGAACTATGTTTTTCAAGTTTAACCCTTATAATGTAATTTTTTGTTTTGACTCCTATGATGTCTTTCAAAGTGTATCACATTCTTTTCATAATGATTCCAATGTTGAAGGATAATCATTCTGTATATCATTTACGTACTGACTATGCACCTAAAATCTTGAACTAAATATGTACAGACTCCAGCACAAGCTTGGAATTTACCTTTACTTTTCTTTTAAGACTAAGTTCATGATAACCAACCATTTTCTTGCAGTTTGACTCTTTCAAGAAATCTAGAGAGGAATATACAAGGCTCTCAGTGTTTCTTCTGTAAAATTATTTCTTGACTTGAAGAATGAAGCAGGCTTCTCAAAATTTTCTTCATATTGCCAATAAAGAAACACTCTCTAACAACACTCTTTTTTATTGTGTCAGCGTCCATAAAATGATGTGCAATTCCAACAGCTCACAGTTCTGATTATCACGAAGTCTGTGAACTGGTGTGATGGACATGCATCAGTCACCATTTCAGAAAATGGTTTTGTGTATATTTTTATTATAAAGTCTTCATATTTGCTTGTGAGAACGTAATGCCTGTTTTTTGTTTTTTCTGCTTTAAAAAAAATTTCTCCAACCTATCCTTCATTGTTTTACAAGTAACAAAACTTCAGGTGCAATGAGACCTAAGAGCGGTATTGTTAAGTTTACAATCAGATGAAACGCCCTGTGTTGGACCTGCATTCAGCTTTATCATGAAATGGTATGTGGCCCACAGGGGCTGAATCAACGAGCTGCCACTGGCACATGGGAATATACTAAAAACTCTTTCTGAGGTAGGATACAAAAAATACATAGAAATACAAAAACAGGGCTTCCCCAGTGGCGCAGTGGTTGAGAGTCCGCCTGCCGATGTGGGGGACATGGGTTCGTGCCCCGGTCCGGGAGGATCCCACATGCCGCGGAGCGGCTGGGCCCGTGAGCCATAGCCGCTGAGCCTGCGCGTCCGGAGCCTGTGCTCCGCAGCGGGAGAGGTCACAGCAGTGAGAGGCCCGTGTACTGCAAAAAAAACCCCCAAAAACAAAAACAGATTATACTGTATTGTATGGTAGATTGTGCTTCCTTATGCCTTTAGCTAAGTCTATGGTTCTAAAATGATCTTTCACTAAAGGCATAAAAATATGATGAAAACCGACTAGAGAAAAAAATAAGTGTCCAAATTGTAAGCAATAAGTGCCAGCCGTGAAAGCTGTAGAACTTATTAGTCTTTCAGTAGCTACAGGTTATACATTGCCTAAATCTGTAATGTTAACAAACAAATACTCCATCACTGTTTCCCTGTAATCCA